TCAATGAAAGGGTTTCTTTTCTTCCCTACCTTCGCCAATTGAAACTTCAGCACATCATACTACACTGAAATGGTTAAAGGCTAATTTAAAAAACACTATTAGCTAATAGGATGTGAAAGAAGCTAGTGAGAACCACAAGGCTGAGTTTCTCCTCCTTTGGAAAGTCCAGTAGCTTGTATATAGAATCCTTAAAAGCTCTGTAAATCAAAAGAATATCTGTCCCAAAGTTATCCAGAAATTGAATTTAAACTGAGCAATTTAACAAAAATGTTTTCTAACTTGCTTTCTTTACACCTTGACATGTGCACAAGAACATTATCTTGAATTTTGTCATTTGGGGGGAGAAAGGTGGTGAGGCTATAGGACCATCTATGTATTTTAATAGCATTACTTCTATTAAGAGTACAAAAAGTACAATTTCACTCAGAAAACTGAATGATTTGTCTTTATATCATCTATTTATCATCAATGGGTTAGATACTATTAACTACTGATGACTTTCTAGTCCACAAATACTCCTTTTGGCACACTTAGCACTTGACTCAGCTAACAAAAAGCATGTGGCCCGTTTTCTTTGGGTGCATCCTGCATACTGTGTCCACCATTGACAACTGCTTGCAGTGTAACTGCTGAGCACTCAGGATGATGTCAGTGGTTTCTAGAGCAAATTGCTTTGCAAAGTGAGCCTGCAACTCACCATGAAGACATTCCAGTCCCTTGTACAACCAGGCCAGACATCTAAAGCAATGTAAACATGGCCCTATTAGTGTTTTTATAGCGGTTCACAAACCCACTGGGTCGTTTAGCATACCTCCAATAAGACTAGTGTGGTGTTGAAAAACATCTATTACTGTCACAGTAAAAGCCCATCCCTGAGGTTAATAAGTCTTTTTAATTAAAAAAGCTGAACCAGAACTGGACTGCTCATTGATCATAGCTAAGCTTACTGGAATTTGTTCTTTTCCTTCTGTCTCTTTTTACACAGAGAGAGATGTGTGAGAAGCAGTATACTACATAGATATTTGAGGAAGAGGAGTGTATGTAATAGCTGAACTATTACATTCTAACTTTAGGCATTGAACTACATTATGCAAATATGGTATTTCTGATTTCTGGCAGTTCTTAGCAAAAGATTTTAATTTTTTTTTACAGTGCGTTCATAAATAGTGTAATTTCCCATGGGCTGTGAGAGTGCTTTGGATAGCCAAAAGGAGTTACAGAAGTCAGTCCAGTCTAACTGCCCTACCCAACCCTACCTTTGCATCTAAGGGCAACACACAGTTTTTCTCCATGACAAGATGGATAGCCTGGAAAATAAAAGTCTAATAACAAAACAGCATGAAAAATATTTGTAATCAACAATCTTCAAAAAACTACAATTGAAAATCCCCATATTATAAGGACCCAAGGAGAGAACAGGCCAAATACACTGCATCATTCAAATGACAGTGCATTCACATGAAAAGCAGATATTTAGTACCACGTAATGACATTAGGTGCTGATGAAAACCTTTCAGAATCATTTCAAATTTAATCGTTTCATGTTTAGAAGAGACATTGAAAATTCATGTTCACAATGTGAAAAGGGGAAATCTACATAAAACAACAGGTTAAGATGACTGACATCACTTTTTGCTAAAAACCAGAACTAGGGCAAATTCACCTTAGAAAACCAAGAAACTGCTTTTAAAACTTAGGGACTTGACTACCTGACCATAGCCAAACACTAACCTATAAAATACAATACATAAAGGCAGTTCTCATTGGGGAGGCTTGGGAACCACTTGAATTCCTGTTAAAATGCAGGTTCCTTGACCTGCCAAAAATTCTGATTCCATAGATCTGAAGTAGAGCCTGGGCATGAATTTTATTAATATAAACCAAGGGTTTGGAAATGAGCACTCTGAAGATATTTTAATTAATGGAGGTTTAGCATATAAAATTATTAGCATCAGCCATATTATTCTCACATTAAATATTTATAACACTGGTTCTCAACTTTTGAGAAAACCAGAGAACCTTTTAAGAAATTATGTGACCTTTCCCCCAAAATATGCATGCATACAGACAAGACTTCACATCCGGTAAGAAGTTCACGCATCTTCTGGAAACCCAAGTACAGGAATCCAAGCTAGAATAGCATTACCTTGTTACATAGTTGCAAGCGGATCAGGTGAAATTCTAGGTTCTTCAATAAACATTTTGGGTTACTTGTATAAACTATCTTTAATAATGGTCATAATTACATGAATTTCCCATAAGAATTAGTTGGCATCCATTAAAAACCTTGGAAAAATCAGGTTCAGCAAAAATCACTATCTATCCCAAAAGAATGTTTTCCTTACTCAAAAAAAAAAACTTCAGTCATCACCAAGGCTGAAGTTCCTAAGGTACAGAGATGAAGAATCCTAGACACAGAAATCAATCAAACTAGGGATGTTCTTAAATGCAAAAAGGTTTCCCATAGACTTATATCAGAAGTAAAAAGACTTTTTAAAATTAGACATTACCTGAACTTTAACAACTTAAAATATCACATAACACAGCATATATTTTATATGTTATCAAAGTATGAACAGAACATCTTGTTAAAACTAAAAAACAAATCTTTAAAAAGTGAGACTAACAAATTTATCTGAACTATTTCAGCAATCTCAGTAGCTGAAGTTTACAAAATATTTGCTAACTAGATTTTGTGAACTCTGATTAAGATTTTATCAAGCAATCTCCTCAGCAGAGGACAATAAAAGCCAAAAGAAACAAATGAGACTACATCAAACTAAAAAGCTTTGCACGGTGAAAGAAACCATCAAAAGAAAAAGGTAACCCACCAAATGGGAGAAGATATTTGCAAATGACATATAAGGGGTTAATATCCAAAAAAAGGTGTTCCCCCAAAATGTGTACTCACTTCAAATAATTATTAATTTCACTTTTTCTTTTCAGATTTAACCCACTGAAATTAATAATTATTCAAAGTGTATATACATTTTGGGGGCACACCCTGTATATAGAGAACTCATACTACTCAACATCAAAAAAATAAATACAAACAGCTCTAGCCAGTTTGTCTCAGTGGATAGAGCATCGGCCTGTGGACCAAAAGGTCCTGCGTTCAATTCCAGTCAAGGGCACATACGTCAGTTGCAGGCTCCTCCCTGGACTAGGCCCTGGTTGGGGCTCGTGCAGGAGGCAACCAATCGATGTGTTTCTCTCCCATCAATATTTCTCTTTCCCTCTCTTCCTCTCTCTCTAAAAATCAATGGAAAAATATCCTTGGGTGGTGATTTAAAAATAAAAATAAAAAATACAACGAACAGGGATTAAAAAAATGGACAGAGGATCTGAATACTTTTCCAAAGAAGACATACAGATGGCCAATGGACACATAAAAAGATGCTGGACATCACTAATCATCAGGGAAATACAAATCAAAACCAAAATAAGGTATCATATAACATCTGTCATATTGGCTATTATCTAAAACACAACAAATAATAAATGATGGCAAGAATGTGGAGAAAAGGGAACCCTCATGCACTGTTGGTGGGATTGCAAGTTGGTATAGCCATTATGAAAACAAGTATAGAGGTTCATCAAAAAATTAAAAATAGATCATATGACTCAACAACTCCACTTCTGGGTATCTATCTGAAAATAGTAACACTAATTCAAAAAAGATATATGCACCCCTATGTTCACTTCAGCATTATTTGTAGTAACTACGATATGGAACCAAACTGTCACTGACAAATGAATCAAGATGTGGTATGTATATATATAAAACACACACATATACATATATACACACACAATGGAGTATTAGCCATAAAAAAATAATGAAATCTTTCCATTGTGACAACATGGATGAACCAAGAGGGTATTATGCTAAATGAAATGTCAGACAATGAAGAACAAATACGGTGTGATTTCACTTACATGTGGAATATAAAAAAACAAAAGAAACAAACTCATAGATATAACAAACTTATGTTTGCCAGAAGGGAAGGAAGTGGAGGGAAAGACTAAAAGGGTGATGGGGAATAAGAGGCACAAACTTCCAGCTATAAAATAAGTCACAGGGATGTAGTGTATAGCATGGAAAATACAGTCTATAAAATCATAACTTTGTACAGTGACAGACGGTTACTAGACTTAGTGAGATCATTTTGTAAGGTATATAAATGTTGAATCACTTTGTACTCCTGAATCTAAAACAATATTGTATGTCAACTATACTTTAATAAAAACTCTATCTAGCACTATACTACATTACTCTTCCGTATAAAAAATGTGCTAGACTATTTAATCAAGTGTTTTAGCAAGTAGTTTTATTTAAAACTTGACAAAAGTTCAACTTACTAAATGTGTTAAGATTTTTAAAAACTCTGAAGTAGATATCACATTACGTAGTGGGAACAAATGTCCCCAAAGCCCCCTGTCCAGGAAGGACAAGAAGGACATCAAGATGTTCTAAGCAATTTCCTGAACAGCAGGAAATGAAAGGCTGGAGATGCTGAGTTTTTGATCAGTTTACTTTTTTTTTTTTTTTCTGAATAGGCTTACTCATTATTAACTGATGAAAGATAACACATATGATATTAAAAACTAACATCTAATGGTTCTGTCATGATTGTCAGTTAATGCTCAAGTAGGAAAAAATTTCATTTGCTTCTCTAGTTTGGGAGGGGGGGGGGGGAAGAGAACCTATCTATTGGATCATTTTAGAACTGCGTCACATTTTACATTAGCATCAATTGTAGAAAGCTGCTTTACTGCGTCACATAATTATATCCTCCATGGCAACACTATGCCCAATTTCATGCTGGTGAAAACTTTTTTGTTATGAAAGAAGTCTTATTTCTTTATTTCCACAACTCATCCAATTGACTGTTTCGATTACATAAAAATATGACATTTACTGGGTCCATCTTGGATTTATTTTCTCCTAATGAAGAACCAGCAGATTTTTTTCTAGGTGTGATTTAACTGAAAACACTACTTCAACTTCAAATGTATTTTAATGATATGTACAGGCGTTAACAAATTACAATTAAAACGGAACCAGTTATGTTAATTCCACATAACTTAAAATCATGCAACACTGCATGGTAAAAACAACAGCTTTGTTCATATACAAAAGAGTACTATTTTGAGACTTATAATAGTATACTGAAATTTTTTACATAAGCTTTTTGCAAAGAGTATTTTATAAAAATTTAAAGACCAGATTAATTAGTAGTTAATACATTATTAGGAAAGATAATAAAACATTAGGAAAGTGAGGTTACGAGTAATTAATTTCAAAATTATACCAGGTATAGGGTTGAATGTAGCCTCATGAAATAAATGCTTGGTTAAGAAAATAGTTTTGAAAAAGATCTCATATTGATGCTATGTATTAATTTTGTCAAATCAGGGTATATAAATCAATAGTCAAGTTTATTCAGTTAAAGAAAATATGTTATTCCTTTCTTATACTCATAAATAAGTACTTATATAGTCTTTATATACAAGTGAACAAAAGTCCATTGTAAAAAATATACTGCCAATCCTCTTATGCTTGAAGTAGCTCTTTATCTACACATTAAATTGCATTGATGAAAATGTCCAATTTAAATCACATTCGACCAGCATAAATATTTAAGCTGAATATTATTGTAAACAACAGAGAAAAACAAATTCTTTTATTTTGTCACTGGGTAGCAATCTACTTCTCAGCTTAGAATGCTATAGAAAGGCTCAACATTTAATTTCATAAAATCCAAAGCCATTAAATTTAGAGTAAACAAAGCGAATGGTTTCAAAGTGCATAATTTCCAACTCATCCACTTGTAATATTTATTCGATTCCAGTTCATCCACATCCACAAGAAAATAAAATGTACTTAGCTATAAAAATACTAAGGAATGTTATTGAAAAAGAAAGGCTATTTGGTAGAAGTAACTACAAAAATAATTAGTGTAAATCTTTGTAAAGCTTTAATGCAAGAACATCAGTACACTTTCTTTCCATTAATCTTAAAGCATGATCATTACCAAGATTTAAAATTTCCACCTTTCAAAAACTTGAAAAGAAGTTGCAACAAAGTGTCTCTTCAAAAAGTAAGCAACAAGAAGGATCATGCAGGTGTTAATCTGCTAACATCTGGGGACACTGATATCTGTGTGGAGCTGTCATCTCTGGCTCCACTGGCAGCAAGTACAGGCAAGGAGTTACTCTGAAACGCAGGTGTAGAACAAGCAGTCAAGCCAACATGTTCATCTTCACCCGTGTCTGAATCTGGTGTTGTGACTTCACTGTCCTGAAGCCCCAAAATCTCACAAACTGCTTGTGGCAATTCCTGAATATGAAAAACAAAACCATCATTCACCATAGAGGAAAATTAACCACAAAGTAACACTTCTAATTAAGACTACACTGATTCCAGAATTTGAACATTTGTTCTAAGATTATAATTGTTATGTTCCCTCTCAAACCTTCCTTCTTCACTCCAAAATGAAATCCTAACCACTTTTTTCATTAACTGGTTCCCTGATCTATTCTGAATTAATCGCTCTTCACCCCACTCTATCACACCCACAAACATATAGTTACTAATATTTTATTTATCTTTATTATTGAAAGTTACTAATATTTAGCATTTGTTTCATTCTCCTTGTTTTTCTACTATTTTATTCATACTTTCCCCCTCAATATACAAAGGTTCTTTTAAATGTAAGAAGGTATCACTGATATTTTTTGAACAGAATACCTACCAAATAAGTGTTTAAACTGAACCAAAATAAGCATTTGGAACCATGAACGAATGACACAAAGACCAAATAAGAATTCTCATAAAAATGCAAAAGCCAAAATACATCAATGATTTGAATTCAGATAATCAAATTTGCCTTGTTATCAAACAAATTAAGAGCATGATACACAAATGTAATGGCATGGACTAATCGTTTCTGATTAGCATCTGTCTTTATTTGGAGACACTGCATATTTAATATGAGGTCCTATTCTGTATTCACTAATTCGACTGGAGAATACATACCAATGCTTAAATTCTACAGCCTCGCCTGGCCGGCGAGGCTCAGTGGTGGAGCGTCGACCTATGAACCAGGAGGTCATGATTTGATTCCCGGTCAGGCACATGTCCAGGTTGCTAGCTCGATTCCCATGAGGGGGCATGCAGGAGGCAGCCAATGATTCTCTCTCATCACTGATGTTTCTATCTCTCTCTCCCTCTCCCTTCCTCTCTGAAATCAATCAAAATATATTTTTAAAAAATTCTACAGCCTCGATGGTTGTCACAGAAATGTTTTCATTACTTTTGCCATTTTGCCCTATTATATGATTTTCATGTAGCATGGTTAACCAACTGTTTTCAATTACATGTTGTAAATCTATAATGGTAAACAAAATGCTAGCCAATGCTTTGCGTGTGCCTTCAACTTGCTGAAACAGCCATTTATATTATTTCTAAGAAGAAAAATTTGTTCTTGAGCTCAACCCACCAAAAACATTAACAAAAAATCTTGTAATTATTTAAAATTCTGTATACCTTGAGCCCTGGCTAGATAGCTCAAATGATTAGAGCATCATCCTGTACACCAAAAGGTTGTGGGTTCAACCCCTGGTTGGTGTGTGCACTGGAGGCAACCGATCAATGTTTCTCTCTCACATCAATGTCTCTCCTCTCTCTCTCCCCTCTCTCTCTCTCTCACTCTCTCTCCCGCCCCCCCCCTCCTCCTCCTCCCTCTCAGTAAACATATCCTTGGATGAGAATTAAAAAACAACAACTATATATATATATATAGTATACCTTGCATTTTACCATCTGTAGAGAAATTGCTTCCGCCTTGCACAGTACATCTTCTACATCAATTTTCATGGACAATTCATTAATATGCTAAAATGAATCAATAAAATAAAATGACAATCAAAATTGGAAGCACTATATGTTCTACTATATAAATAATTACCACTTACATTTAACTACAGATAAAATCCTTAAAATAAAAATATCCACACACTACAAACAAACAGAACATTTAATACATCTTTTCTTAGATCATTTCCCGTTTTAAAGCTGAAAAATAACTAATAAGCTTATGGAACATTAAATCTAACAGCTGTCTCAAATCTATTATCTTAAAATTATAAGCAAAATAACAATATTCTTTTAGAAAACTAACTATAAAAAAAGTGTACGTTGAACCTTCTATCCTAATTACTGGCCAATATGTAATTGGTGAACTGTCATTCCCAGAGTCACTGACAGTTTAAATTACTCGAGGGATTCAATAAATCTCCAAGAAAATGTTTTGTGTATCAAAAGAGGGAAAAAAACAAAATATTAAAATCTAAATTAAAGAAATAACTACCTTAAGTATTTCATTAAAACCATAATGCTTTTCCATTATTTGCTGCTTTTCTGATTCCAGAATAGCACAACAGAGAAGAAGATGGAAATTTTTACATGGTAGTTCAGTCCACATTACCTATAAAACAAAACAACTATTTATTAAATTATAATAATTCTAAAACATTTTCCTCATATATACAATGTTGAACTCTAAATGCCTTCTATGCAAAGCAGAAGTTGCCTAGATGAGGTAGCCCACCAGTTTTCTAGTTAGGAAATGAGGGGTAGAGAAGGAAAGTCTTACCTTCACCTACAAAGTAATTAACATTTTGTGAACACAATGAATTCCAAATGTGGCTCTTTAGGTAACTACAATAAGCAAATCATCGAGTCTAACCAATATGATGAATAGTATTAATTAAGGAGCCACAGCTATGAGGTTAAGTTTAAGGTATAAGGGTTAGAGGCATTTTCAATATTTTCCTGAACTTTCAATTACATGCTGTTTCTCACTTTTAAATCACCTTCTGTCTCTAGAAAACTAAATCCTGTAAATAAAAAAGATTCAGTTACACCATGCATGGAATCAAAAATACCCACAGACAACTCTACATTTTAAACATCATATTATATGTCACATATTGTGACAAAAACTGAATCAAATACCCCAAATTTATACCCAAATGCATAAAATATTTGATCAATAGCTGCACTTCTTCCTAAATATTTACTTATGCCCTCAAATTTAAGGCCTTAATTTCCCCCTGTTTAATGTACCTAATAATATCTTATCTGGAAACATAAAAAGACCCATATAACCATACTATTAAAGCATACTTAACATGTTTTCATTTCTTTTACCAGGCATAAATCAAGTTGAATAATTTTCAGACTAACCCAATTTTTTAAAGTTTAAATGAAATTCAATTAACCTCCAAGGGTTTCCACTTAACATCCCAATATATTTGGTAAACACAGATTAGGAAGTTATTCTAACTGTGTGGTAATAATATTCTCAATCCATCCTTTTAAAAAAGTTGAGTACTAAATAACAAAATTGACTACCTTTAAAAATATGATTCCAGGTCAAGAACATGCAAGTTTTGCCTGGCCAGTGTAATCCAGTGGTTGGGCATCGACCTATGAACCAAGAGGTCACCAGTTTGTTTCCCAGTCAGGACACATGCCCAGGTTGGGGACTCAATCCCCAGTATGGGGCGTGTAGGAGGCAGCTGATCAATGTTTCTCTCTCATTGATGTTTCCATCTCTCTATCCCTCTCCCTTCCTCTCTAAAAATTCAATAAAAACATATTTTAAAAAAAGAAAAGAATATGTGAGTTTTTCTTGAAACTCTGGTTTCCTCATCTGTTAAATACAGATAATAGGATGTGTTATGTTATTATTCATACTTTGCTCTAACTTAAGTTTCTGTTACAAAGCAAAATACAAGTCTGCTCCCTCCCAATATCTCAAACTATAAATACAGTGCCATCTCAACTGATTGGCCGGCTAAAAAGTCCTTGAACTCTACAACCTATACCAGAATATGGCAGAGCCTCACACAGTCAAGTCGCCCCAGCAGAGAACACAGACACAAATGGTCTAGAGAACTGGATCTGGGAAATCAACTAGCCCCAAATCTCATAAGGATTATAATTTATAGAAAAAGGCTCCAAAGATCAGGTATTCAGCTCAAGATCATTAATTTTAAGGAGAGACAACAAACTATCAGAATTTTGAAACATACTTGCTTTAGATATTTCAGGTAGACTGGTATAATCCATTTATATTCTATAGAATAAATTGTTGCTTTCCATAACAAATAATGCATTTGTATAATTTAAGAACTTACCTCCCATAATCGAAGAATATCTAGAAAACTAAATTCCCTTTTGAATCTGATTAAAAGCCATCTGAAGCAAAAGTAAAGGTATCCAGAGTCCTGAGATTCTATACAGAAGGGGAAAAAAAAAATATGGCTTACTCTCATGCTATTTATCTCAGAACACAGTGACCTATTTCAAACTCAAATTTCTCTATGCATGTTAGGCTATTGAAAGTCCTATAAATTTGTCTTCTACTAATTAAAGGGAACAATTCAAAGTTTGCAGGCTAACTTCTTTAAAAGAAAACAACCAAATAACAACAAATAACTCATTTTAAAAATAAACTGTTTTAAGACACAGACTGGCCAATGTGGCTCAGTTGGTTGAGCATTGTCTCATGCACCAAGAGGTCGCCAGTTGAATTCCTGGTTAGGGCACTTGGCCCGGGTTGTGGGCTTGATCCCCACAAGGGATGTGCAGGAGGCAGCCGATCAATGTTTCTATCTCTCTCCCTCTCTTTTCCTCTCTCTGAAATCAATAAAAGCATATTAATAAAAAAATATATAAAAAAGAACAATAACTATCTTTTTTTAAAAATATTTTTAAGCCCTAATCAGTTTGGCTCAGTGGATAGAGCATCGGCCTGCAGACTCAAGGGTCCCAGGTTCGATTCCCGTCAAGGGCATGTACCTTGGTTGCGGGCGCATCCCCAGTGGGGAGTGTGCAGGAGGCAGCTGATTGATGTCTCTCCCTCATCGATGTTTCTAACTCTCTATCCCTCTCCCTTCCTCGCTGTAAAAAATCAATAAAATATATTTAAAAATAAAAATAAATAAAAAAAAAATATTTTTAAGACATAAGCATGCCAAGACAGTTTGGTCCCACACTTTTATTCCTCAGAGGAATCCTGGCAACAGCAATAGAGCATATATGTCTTTAAAAGAGTCATTTTTTTCTCCCCATGAATTACCCTACAATTTGCTGGGTATAGTTCTGATTCACTACCTTACCTAAGTAACTGCAAAATCCACTGTCCAACAATCGAAGTAAGGTACTTAGTTGAATTAGCTGGGTCTTCATGCCTTGCATTTGTTCTTCAAAATTCTGGTGCTTTAGAGAAGGAAACACATGTTACCATATAAGTAATATTTAGTAAATATTTTATAGAATAACTAACTAATAACTAAATCATGAGTTTAAAAACAAATGTTAGACTCATACCATCTATACTAATAAAAGGGTAATACGCGAATTAGACAGGACGTCTTCCAGACAAAGCCGCAGTGGCTGCTGCTGCAAGAGCTGGGCCGCGGCGGCAAGCAGTGGCAGCAGCAGCAGCGTGATGGGGGAGTCACCTTCCCATGATCGGTCCCGGCTGCCTCCCGCAGAGGGAGGCCAGAGGCAGCAGCAGCGAGGGGGTGATGGGGGCAGTGCCTTCCCATGATCGGCCAGTCACCTCCCACAGAGGGAGGCCAAACTGCGGCTCCCCACGGGGAGTGGGCCTAAGTCGTCAGTAGGACATCCCCTGAGGGTTCCCAGACTGTGAGGGGGGCAGGCCGGATTTTCGTGCACCAGGCCTCTAATACTGATTATATTTTTTTAAATCACAACAAATTAAAAAGCTAGAGCAACATTAAAAAAGAGGGAAAGAGAATCCTTGGTCTCAAACTAGGGATTATTTTCCCCTCTATTCCTTTGATTTAGATAAAAAAGAATGTGCAAACAATTAACTATAGACTGATTGGCATACTAATTTCTGACATGGAATAAGAGATTTAGTGAAAGGAAACACATTTGGGAAATAAACTTTCATCAAATCACTTCCATTTTAAAATACTTCTTCAAATTATCATATGAAAAATCTATTTTAGTTTTAATGTGTTTCATTTTAAAGAATTAACTATTTCTTAGATTTGATGACATTAGGGAAATCTGCAATGTCAAAACCATCTTCATGACAATACTAGAAGATTATCTGCATCCTGCACTTTAAAATCTCTCACAAGATGGGAAACATCTGTAATAATGTCAACAATTTTTTTTTTTAATCTCCCAAAGTATAAAGGTTATATAATGTGTGATAATGCAAAAGACTCAATCCAGAATCAGGTAGGACTAAACTAGACATTAAAGAAAATGGAAATGTAGAACAATCCCTCTTCTCAGCAAATCTGTTTTTATTTTGGAAAACTAACTTTCCATTTTAAAATGTTATACATGTTAAAGTGTAGTATGTTTACTGTTACTTTAAAATGAGTAAGTATAAATTTCTCAGTACTAATTTTCATTCAATAAACATCAGTAGATATAACCCACATAAACAAATTCTCTTGGGGTACTCAATAAGATTTAAGAGTGTAACGGGGTCCTAAGATCACAAAGTTTGAGAACTGCTGTGGTTTACATGCTTCCAAAAATCTTCTAAGTTAAGTAAATTCCCTACCAACACATCAAAGATGGAGAAGGGGAACCAAAATAAATAAAAGGCTTCTTAGATTATTCTGAGCCCTATAAAATGTGCGTCAACCCCTCTTTGGTGACCTACTACCCTGCCCCTTGTGAAAAGCCTAAGAAGAACATCCCCTCCCTCACACTTGAAATCACCCATTCTTGGTAGAAGAGAAACAAAAAGGCTACTGATTCTCAATAAACTGGTTTCTCTTTAATGATTTAAAGAACAGTTTAACAGACTAACATAAAGGTTTAAGATGATTCTCTCTCATTGTTTCTCTTTCCTTCCCTCTCTGAAATCAATAAAAATATATATACATCTTTCAAAAAGATACAGTTTCGCCCTAGCTGGTTTGGCTCAGTGGATAGAGCATCGGCCTGCAGACTGAAGGGTCCCGGGTTCAATTTCAGTCAAGGGCACATGCCTGGGTTTCGGGCTTGATCCCCAGTAAGGGGTGTGCAGGAGGCAGCCGATCAATGATTCTCTCTCATCATTGATATTTCTATCTCTCTTGCCCCTCTCCCTTCCTCTCTGAAATCAACAAGATATATTAAACAAAAAAAAAAAAAGATATAGTTTCTTCACATTTACCACCTGGTCATGTAGGGCAAAGGCAGAATTAACTCTCTGGTAAACAGCATCATTTTTGTTATAACACGGTTTGGGAGTACCAACATGGCATCCTCACTGCTACCCATTCAGCTATAAAAAGAAGCACTCCCAAAATGACAGAAGCCAACTTTGAAAAAGAAGTTATTCCTGGAGAAGAAATAACATCCATATGATTATACAAAGGGCTTCAACTGTATCTATATCTATAAATAAATGTGTGCACACATATGCATACATATATTATATATATGCATATTACATATAATGTATACATACATATACACATGCATATACATTTTATGGGGGTGTGAGGTGAGAAGGGAGGGACTAAACTTTATGGCAAAATGAATGGTGAGTATAAGAAAGTTCATTAGATCGTTTTGCAAATGTTTCCATAATATTTCCATAACAAAGTCTATGCCTAGACCTACATTAGATGTGAGTAAATATCAACAAAAGTAAATCTACAGATATTAGGTCAGCCATCACATAAGAAATAATAGGTTATATGAAATAAAGCTGTAACACAAAATGGAATCAAACAACTGCAGCACTGATTTAAGGGCACCAAAACAATAGCAATGCAGTGAAAAATAACTGTGTAGATTTTTAAATTGCAACATATTGACCTTTCATTCAAATATTATGGGATGTTAGTAGACAATATATTAAGAGATCTTTTTAGAATAAAGAGTAGAAAAGTCCCCCAGACTATCCTCAATGAAAAAGGCAAACACAGAGAGCATTTACTGTGAAAAGACAGAACTTAAACCTTCATATACAAAAAATAATAGATTACAAGTGTATATTACAGGTGGTCAGAAAGTAATCTTTACATTTGAGACCTAAATACATGCACATATACGAGTGCATTTGGTATCATAAGCCATTATATTGGAACATGTCAAAATTTCCTCAGTTTTATGAAAACCATTATTGTAATAAACTAAATGCAGTATGTTCATGTTAACTCTTGGAGTACCTATTATAAGTTGAGGTCTAAACTAAGCACTGGGGAAATATTCATGTGTTTATTCTACAAAAATCTGTTGAACAACAATCTCATATCAGGCATTGGGAAAATTCTGGAAGCATACCAGAGAACTAAACTAGTTAAGCAAAGACATGAACCCTTTATCAAGGAACATACTAGCTCTAGTGAAAAGGGGATAAACAGAAACACAAGGAAGGCAGACAAGAGTTTTTATACAATTAGTATCAGTTGTACAGACCTTTGTAACAAATGCCTCAGGTTTCTAGAGCACTTAGGAGTAATTGGAACGAAGAAGGCAGGTAAAATCAATCAATCAAAAAGGTAAGGAAGACAAACTATGATATTACTACATTACTGCAGTTAATAATCTTTCCAAATAATCCAAAAACATTAGTGTATAGTAAAGAACTACATAATTTGTATATTTATCAATTTAAAAGCAAAAGATATTTTAAAATCATCAAATTTCATTATGCATGTGGAAAAGGAGGAGAAGTGAGGATGAGTTGAATCCATGGATGACACTTGAGTAAATAGACAAAAGTGAGAAAAATTGCAGGGGAAAGAATTGGTAAGCAACAGGGGAAGAATAGAATGAATAGAAGGAATCGAATCAAAGAAGGTACCACTTCCAAATTCCATATTTTTATCCCAGAAACTCTAAGTTAAACCCTACATTGCTAGGAAACATTTTAAATGACTTCATATTCAAAATCTTTATCCCATTGCAAGCAAGCCATTTCAATATCCGACTTCAAGGCCCACCATGAAGTATATTAATCTTATTCTGAAATTGTAAAGTGACCTATGTATTGATCAAGTCTTTGAATTTCATATGCCTTTATCTACTCTTAGACCCTCTGCTTTTTTTTCTTTCTAAAAGATAACGTGAAAAGACTGTTCTATTTTATTTCCGTAACACTCTCTCTGTACTACTGTCCTAGAACTCCACTGCCAAGATAGATCAATGATGATAAAATGTTCTTTGTAATAATATGTATATATAGACATAGTTCAACTCTGATAACCACATGTTTCTGAGAAAAATAACAGTGAATTACTAAGAAAGTGTCAGTGTTACAAATAGTTCAAACACATCTGGAGAAAAATCAGTGACAAAATCCAAAATGTTCACAAAAGGTAAGGATATTACTTGGTATGACTAAGCTTTATCTCTGAAACAGATGATATGAAAGTTCAACTACTTCACAAGAATTGCATTCATCTATTTCATCAATATTCTGTTATGACTCATGGCTCTTCTGCAGAATATAAGCATTAACTGATATTAAAACCTGATTATTCCTGTACTACAGGCACTTTCTATTTTTTGTATTAAAAACAATGTCGGCATTTCCAAGCCTCTTGAAAAGGCTATTTAAAAAACAAACAAACAACATGAAGCAAGTTTCTAAAGTCCCATAACTGACTAAATATAATTCATTCTTATATAATAACATTATAGAACTAAAAATTCAAATTAGTTTGATCAAAAGGAGGAACCCCGTTCTTACCATTTGGTCCATGTAGGAGGCAAAGCACCAAAAGGCATCCACCTCATTTTCCATCACATATAAAAGAGGGGAAAGTAAGTCACTCATTCCTTGCACATATCCTAAGAGGAAGAAAAAAATCATGTCTCTGAAAACCTAAGCTTTATGTATCCTTCTGTGCATATCACCACCATTCACTTAAAACTTCATCTTTTCTTTGGTAAATATGATGTTCACCAAGAAAAGAACAGAAACAAGGAGGAAGGAAGAAGTCTAGCAATGAGGTGAAAAAGATGCATTGTTTTCAATTGAGATGTCAAGCATATACAGTGGGGCCTTGACTTACCAGTGTCCCGACTAACGAGTTTTTTTGAGATACAAGCTGTCTCTCGGCGGATTTTTTGCTTTGAGTTGCAAGCTCAAAAAAATTCCGGTTACGAGCCAGCTTCAGATACCCCACCGCTAGTTGGCGCAGCGAACGTCACAGTGATTTGACATACAAGTAATTTGAGTTATGAGCTCCGTCACGGAACAAATTAAGCTCGTAAGTCAAGGCCCCACTGTATTTATCTTCCAGTAGGTGTCTTAGTGTAGACATCACTATCAAGAGTGGGTAATATTATTAAAAAACAGTGTGCAAGCCCTGGCCTGGTAGTTCAGTTGGTTGGATCATCGTCCCATACACTAAAAAAGTTGCGGGTTTGATTCCCAGTTGGGATGCATACAAGAGCCAACCAACTGATGTCTATGTCTTGTTCTTTCTCTCGCTCTAAAAATCAATAAACATATTCTCAGGTGAGGATAAAAAATAAAAATATAAAAAATGTGCAGCCCTAGCCAGTTTGGCTCAGTAGATAGGGCGTCGGCCTGCGAACTGAAAGGTCCCAGGTTTGATTCCAATCAAGGGCACGTGCCCAGTTTGTGGGCTCGATCCCCAGTGGGGGACTTGCAGGAGGCAGCCAATCAGTAGTTCTCTCTCATCATGGATGTTTCTCTCTCATTGATGTTTCTAACTCTCTATCCCTCTCCCCTCCTCTCTGTAAAAAATCAATATATTTTTTTTAAAAAAAGAGTACATACTCAAAAGAAATTGAATAGTCAAAGGAAAAAAATATCAAGGGAGAAGATTTTTATAAGTCAAGGGAAAGAAAGTTGCCAGGCCAGAATAGTAGTCAACAGTACCAAGCTGCCCTGAATAAGCCAAGTAAAATACACACTAAACAGGATCCAACTGCTTTAGCAACCAGATCATTGGTAATCTAAATAAAAGTAGTCACAACAAAATTATCTACCTCTTTTAAATAGACAAATCTATGTCTTCTTTCTTTTCCTGTTACTCTATTCCCAAGCAATGCTAGCAATTGGGTTTAATCCAATCAATATGTTGTGCCTAAAACTGCCACTTTAAATACCTTTCTCTTTATGCTGTTAAAATTTTTCAGTTATGACACTAATTACAGCCCTTGCTTAAAAGAAAAATTGCAAAGTTAAAGAATCAGGCTCCCTATTTAAAAATGAACAAAAAGTCTTAGTTCTACTTTTCACTTAAATATGTCAAGCTTCTTATTTTTCAGTTCCAACTTATAAAACCCTCAATTTTCTTAAGTGTTTTACAATTAAATTTCAGATAAGACATAGATACTTAAACCAACAAAGGGACAAGAACGCATTCTAAGCCTTTTCCCATACATATGTATTATCATTTAACTTTGGTTAAGTTCATACATTTGTAAAAGTTACAAAGAAATTTTTTCCCCAATGGCAGCTTGGGAAGTCTGTGGAAACAGATCCAAAGCTTAAATTTTTAACATTCATAAAAATCTATGTGTACTAAAGCCATCTGAAGAGTATATATTTTAAAAGGGAAGACGGTATTTCTGCTAGAAATGATATACAACTCTGCATCACTCTTATTTTTAAGAAAATGTTTTTTAAAATGACCCAGGAAGCATATAAGCCACTCTAAAAAACAAACAAAAAACCCTCAGATTAAATGTGTAACAAAGAGGCACTCAGGTCACTTCAGGATCTCCAACAAATAAACATTTAGCTCCATCTGCTCAGAGCCTCTGTCCTATCATCTACTACTGTAGCTAGTCTTTATCAACCTATGTATACACTATGCCCTGTGGGAAAATATGACTCTACTCACTTTAGCACAAAAGAACACATGCGTTCCCATGGCGGGCATCCAATGGAGTTACCAAGACATTCACAGAAGTCCCAGAGAAAAGGCATGTGACATGATATCGAAATGTAAACATTTCTACATATTTATTGCAGATGCTTTTTTAAAGTAACAAACACTTGCAATGATTAATTTTATATCAACCTGAGTGGGCCACAGGATGCCCAGATGTCTGGTTAAACATTATTTCTGGGAATGTCTGTGAAGGTGTTTCTAGAAGAGATTAGTGTTTGAATTGGAGAAATGATTAAAGCAGATGGCCCTCCCCAATGTGGGTGGGTGTAATCAAATCCATTGAGAAAGCCTGAATAGAATCCTATATAATAAAGAGGTAATATGCAGATTAACCCTCATGCCCTAACAAGATGGCTGCCTACGACCAGGCCTGCAGGGGGGTTAGTGAGAGATGGCTGCCTACAACCAGGCCAGCAGGGGGGTTAGTGAGGGACAACCAAATGACTGAACAAGCAGGCTGCGTGGGGCAACCAGGCCAGCAAGGGGGGCAGTAAGGGGCTACCAGGCCAGCAGAGGGGGGCAGTAAGGGGTGATTAGGCTGGCAGGGGAGGCAGTGAGGGGCAACTAGGCCAGTGGGGGGGGGGGTTAGTTGGGGGCAACCAGGCCAGTGTGGGGGGGGGCAGTTAGGGACGACCAGGCAGGCAGGCGAGCGATTAGGAGCCAGCAGAGTCCAGGATTGTGAGAGGGATGTCCGACTGCCGGTGTACAAGCAGGCTGCATGGGACGACCAGACCAGCAAGGGGGGGAGAGGGAGGTTAGTGAGAAACGACAGCAGTCGGACATCCCCCCAAGGGGTCCCAGATTGGAAAGGGTGCAGGCTGGGCTGAGGGGACCCCCCCCCACCCCCGTGCACAAATTTCGTGCAACAGGCCTCTAGTAAAAAGATAAAGGAAGGTTGAATTTGCTCTGCCTGGTTGCTTGAGCTGGGACATCCAATCTTATCCTGCCCTGTGTTCCTGGGTCTCATGCCTACACCACTGCTCCACAGCTCTCAGCCCTTCAAACTTGGTCTCTAGCTTGCAGACAGCAAATTGTGGGATTTCTTTTTCTCTTTTTCTGGTTTGTGTGTGTGTGTGTGTTTGTTGGGGGGGGGGGGGGGGGGGGGGGGGCGGGGCAAAA